GTAAAAGGACAAAATTATACATCTGTCTCTTTCACTCCGTCCTTTTCCTCTACGTCTTTTCGGTTTGAAGACTTTATTTGATGTTTTCCAAAAAACACATTTTTTGGGTTGGGTCTCAAGGATATATTGTGCAAGAAGAATGTCTTTGTCGTAACATTTTATTACTTATTTGTGCCAAAATATATTAAAATATCAATGCATTTTTACAAAATGAATAAAGCCTTGTTTTTGAATAATCGAGAGTCGTCGTGGCCTAAAGGATAAGACGTCCGGTGCATTCGTGTTGAAGCGATGCACCGGTGTTCGAATCCCGCAGGCGGGTACCAATTTTTCTAATGAAATATGTACTCAACAAATGTTCACGATTGACTTCCACGGTGAAGGAATAACATCGTGTAATAAAAATCAAACCCGCAAAATTATAATTTGCGTAATTACTGGTGGTAGGACCTCTTGTGAGTCCGCGCGGATAGGTACCACCGCCCTGCTTATTTCTGCCGTGAAGCAGTAATGCGTTTCGGTTTGAAGGGTGGGGTAGCCGTTGTAACTATACTGAGACTTTAGAACTTGTATCTCAAGGTGGGTGGCGCGTCTACGTTGCAGATGTCTATGGGCTCCAGTAACCAATTAACATCAGGTGGGCTGTGAGCTCGTCCACCCATCTATGCAATAAAAAAAAAAAAAAAAAAAACTTTCTAAATACTAATACATACATTTATATTTATAATTTTTTTTTAAACTTTGTAAAAGCAAGAAATAAATGGCTTATTATTATTATTATTACTATAACGGATTGGATATAACGAAGCTACATTCCAACCTCATCCCTGAGAACTATATAGATAGACTAATAGCTAATATTGGCTATCCGATCCGACGCATCATTCACCACGACCAGACATCGGATGTCATTAACTAACGCACACCGAAGAACGCGTAATGAACACGTGTCGCAACAATGACAACGCCGCCATTTGGGTGCCGACGTGCTTATTAAGATATTACAGGCTTACTGGCAAACGTAATTAAATGCGACGCAAGCACTTAAGAAATAATAATAATAATATAATTATTTATTTGACACCACATGTACAGAGTAAGCATATAACACAAATAATAGACGGTGACATAAATTGGGGGCCTTATCGCTGAAAGCGATCTCTTCCAGACAACCCTGCAGGGAGAGAAATAAGCAAACTAGCAGGGACGGTGCTATATCTTAATAAAGTTACATAAAAATATATAAGTACTTATATATGAACATGTGAAAAATAAATACAATATAAGATAGACTTACATACGATTAAATACAAATAAATACTAAAAATTGCAATATGTAAATACAAAATAAGTAGCAAGTTATATTATAGTTATATCGTCCTCCTCCTCGCTGCTGAGGGTCGTGACCATTATAATTCGACATGATTTTACTCCTTTTGATGTCCCGCCAGCGCCTCCGATCATTGGCCGCATGAAGGGCGTCGTGGAATGGGATCTCTAGTGTGGTGCGGATTTGGTCGAACCACCTTGTCGGACTGCGTCCGCGCGGTCTCTTTCCCTCGATCTTCCCTGTCACGAATAGTCTTTCTAAGCTATCCGGTGTTTTCCGAGCAATATGACCGAAGTACTCGAGTGCGCGGCGAAGGCAGAGTGTGGACAGTCTAGTCTTGATCTGCAGTTGATCTAAGATAGACTGATTGCTTCTCTTCGCTGTCCAAGGTATCCGGAGCATTCTTCTCCAGCACCNAGTCTAGTCTTGATCTGCAGTTGATCTAAGATAGACTGATTGCTTCTCTTCGCTGTCCAAGGTATCCGGAGCATTCTTCTCCAGCACCACATCTCAAAAGCATCCACGCGTTTGCGATCAGCTGCTTTAAGGGTCCAGGTCTCCGCTCCGTATATAAAAATGGAAAAGACCAGAGTGAGCACCAGTTTTGTCTTTGTTTTCTAGGTAATGTTATGGTCCTTCCAGATTTTACCGAGCTGGGTCATGGCTCCCTTTGCCATTCCAATACGCCGTCGTACTTCAAGTTCGCTGGATCCAGTATTGTTAATGTTAGTAAGTAGTAAGTTATATCGTAGGAGCCATATTATTGTGCAAGGTTGTGCGAAATACTTTAAATTGACTACAGGATAACAGAGATTTGGGTATTGTGAGGAACTGTTGCGAGTCTGAATTGGGCGTGAAAGCTTGTGCTGTCAAAGTATGTTGACAGTTCGGTTTTCGTAGGCACACCGACGGACAATCCTCTCGGAGTACTAGTCTTGAACCACCGAAAAAGTCTTCCACTTTTTCTCCACCTTATCCCACTAGGTGGCGTCGGCACAGCGATTTTTTCTATTCCATTCTCTTTTATCAGCCTTCATCTCAACACTCACTCCTCTCTATCGTCATTCACACACTCCATCCATGTATTCTACGGTTGACCTCTTCCCCCCTCTACCTTGCACTACCATTCCCATACATCTCCTAGTCACATAGAAACAGGTGCTCGACGCAATGAACTGAAAGCACGCCCGCTTTGTGCTATCTCTTAAAACTATTATAACGGTGTGGTCACCTGTCCGCAATGTGCACGGACGCTTAGGAATAAAATCGGCTATGTTAGCCACACATAGAAACAGAGTTTGAAGTGGTCGCCATGGCCGAAATCACCTAAGGAGAGTAGTAGTAGTAGCAGTAGTAGTAGTCACATACATCTTCTTTCTCGAAGTAACCGAAAAACCAGAACCAGAAATAGTCCAAGAGTCCGGTCACGCGAGTGCCCTCATAGGAAAAAAGGCACAAATACCGAGACTAATATTACCTTGCATTAGTTTTGTCATTACAACTCTGGCATCCAATTTCAAGAGCAATGCAAATTTAAGCATTTAATTATTATTATTCGCTATTATAGTTTTATTCACTCATTATTTTGATTTACAAGAAACATTGTAACTTCATTGGCAACAAAACAGAAAATTTTTATCGGATCTATCCCAATCGACATAAAGTCGTGGTGGGTGGTCGTGTGATATCTGTCTGAACGTGATTGAATCTGAAAACAGCCCGCAGTCTGTAAAATACAATTATAAACAATCCTCAATGTGAACTGACGGTGTGCGTCCTGCCATCGAACAATTAACCAAGTGTGAGGCGCGCCAAACAAAATCGCTCTGTACCCAATTTACCCGACCGTGCGAAGGGTTCATAATTAAAATTTATTGTTCGCTATATGACTGATAGTGGACTAGTACAGTATACGGTACATGAGCACTGTTTTCTGATTAAGACACTGAGCTGCTGGATTCTTTTTTTTTTATTGCTTAGATGGGTGGACGAGATCACAGCCCACCTAGTGTTGAGTGGTTACTGGAGCCCATAGGCATCTACAACGTAGACGCGCCACCCACCTTGAGATACAAGTTCTAAGGTCTCAGTATAGTTAGAACGGCTGCCCCACCCCTCAAACCGAAACGCATTACTGCTTCACGGCAGAAATAGGCAGGACGGTGGTACCTACTCGTGCGGACTCACAAAAGGTCCTACCACCAGTAATTACGCAAATTAA